ATCAGTTTTTATATTTTATCATTAAAATATTTAAAAAAATAAAATAGAAATCCATTTAAGGCAGCTTGATTTTTCAAAATATATAAGAATTATTATGCCAAACACAGAAAATACGGTTTTCATTAATTTAAAAAAAAAGTAATCTTCTTCTTTTTATATAGCCACAGAAATAACTATTCTTTTTTGATTTATTTTAAGTATTAATAATATAATAAATTATAAAACCATCGTATAAGAGTATAACAGAAAAAAAATTGTTCATTTTATAAACTAGAATAAAGTTCTAATAATAAAAAAAAAAGGATAATAAATTAGAAAATTTTGTTTGGTTCTTTTTTTTACTATATATTCCTTCCACACAATAAGAATAAAGCAATAAAACAATAATAATTTATTTATTTAATGGTAAAGAGTTGGGAAAGTTTATAAATATGCTATTTATTTACACATACACAAATATGAAGTTATCCTTATATTTCATCTATACAGAATGATTCAGTAATCAGTGTCTTTAAATATATATTACCGTTTGATTTTTTCTAAAATTAGAATGCTTCATATATCTGAAAGCACCTTAAATACAAAATCAAGCAACACATTGCTTTCAAATTTAGCTCTTTGCAAGTCCTATTCTAAACTGTTTGTTTGAATCTTCTATCTTTTTTTGGAAAGGAAGTCATAAGCAAGAAAAAAAACTTGAGTAAGTAGAAATTTCATGAAAATTCTTTAAAATCCCTGTATCTCGGGATCCATTGAGATTAATTGACTCCTAGTTCCGAACAAAAATTTTTATTAATTTTTGATGCCCTCTAAACGATGATATTAAGGCACTGGTTACTGATTCATCCTGTATTATATGTGCTACAAATAAAAATTTATAAGTATATAAGTGTTTGTTTTTTAAATGACTTGTAATCGACCAAAAATTAATGAACTCTAATTTTCATTTTATATAAAATAGCTAGTTAAAGACATAAAATTGTGTTTTCAAAAATATTTCGAACACAAATACTTGTGTACTTATATTATTTGTGGATTTACATAACAATTGTATATAATTATTCATTTTAAAATTTTGGATTGTTTAACTATAAAGATTATACTTTTAAAGAATTTTCAACAACAACAATATTTTGAAGAAAGAATTTATGTGTTCAATAATAATGATAGTAATTATTATTATTGTATGTACATATTTATTATTAATATCATTATTATTATAACACAATGTTGATTACTTAATTTGTTTATTTTGTAAAATTTTTCATTATTAAAGTAAAATATTGAAGAGATTACGTAATGCACATTTAAAAGCCAAGTATAATTTATTTAATTCTAAAGGAGGATTCAGGGAACATTATGTAGGATTTTTTGTTTTAATATTTAAGAACTTTTAATATTTTATAATTTAAAATTATTTTAAGAATTCATGAAGTCAAAATAAATCAATTGTTTTGGATAAATTTCAGAAAATATTGTTGAAATTTTGAAATCAAGTTGAAAAATTTCCAAATTTGAAGCGATTTTAAATTATTTTACGTGGGAGAGAATTTCCCACGTAAATGGAAATTGTTGTATTGCTATTTAGAAGCAATAATGTTTAGACTATCTTTTTTGGAAAAATTAACAAAAATCTTTAAAAATTTTTTAGCATTTTCCACAATTTTCTTTAAAACTTTCACTATTAATTCATAAAATCGCAAGAAAGCGCATTCCAATTCAATATGTACCCTACCTTACCTATATTTACAATTACAATAAAATTATTCAAATAAATTTTTTTACACCACCTAACTAATTCCGTTAATAAAAATTATTGCATGCAAATTACCAATTCATCGGAATGGTTTAACAATAAATTTTTTCTAACACTTAATTTGCTACCACAATTTTATACCAAATAAAAATTTTATTTATAGATATCGCAAATTTTATTTTAAATAGAACAATTAACGTCATTATTCTAAAAAAAAAAAAAATACTAATATCGAATTTCGATTGAAAACTCCGTAAATTTTTCTTTTGCTATTTTCAATACCAGAACTCATAAAGAAAGGATAAAATTTTTCTAAAATTAGAAAGATTTAGAAATGTAATACAAATTTATTATTTGATTTTAGAACACACCTTTGAACATAGTTTGTGTACATGTACATACCTAAAATATATTAATTACTTTTTCAGTACTCATTATGCCCTGTAATTACTTTTCGTCTAAGAAAGTTGCATAAAATTCGTCTTGAGCTTTTAAAACCTAAATTGCCACTGGGTTTTCTTGATAAATATTTTTCAAGTTTTTCATATGGCTAGTACATATGTTATATGACCCTGCATTTAGAAGAAAACTATAAGCTAAAAAAAATACTCTATTATTATTAAAGACCATAATTATTCGCTCCATAGTCGTTGACAAGAAATTTAAAATACGAACTGCTTTGCCCTTACTAAAGTTGCAAGAACGATAAAATATATCTTTCACATTTTAATTATTTTAAACATATATGATAGAACTACTACCTTTTTACTTTTATTTTTTCATCTTTTCAAAAATGTTTTGCCAAGGAAATTATCAAGTCATATTTGTATTGAGATAAATCTTTTCATTGCTGATATTGTTCACGTATGTGTTTTTATAATCTTAAAACGTGGGAACGTGTACGTATTTATCCTGTCCTTGTTGCAGAAAGTGCAAAAAAAAAACCAAACAATCCAAACATAAAGAGTTTCCCATTATGAAGCATTTTGTCACTTAAATTTTAAAAATTTTAAAGAGACTAAAAGAAAGTGTGGTAGTCTTGTAAAAATAGTACAAAAGCAGAAAAGCAGTGAGAACGGAAGGAAATTGTGGAGTAATGAAAAATCTGCATAGCATTTAATTTTCATTTTTGTTTCTCTCTTTCTCGTTTTTTCAATTTTGTTATTATTTCTTGTTGGATAGTGTTGATGTACTGTTTGACGGCATTTTCTTTTTTTTGCCATAGTATTGAATACAAAAAAACGTATAGTTTTAAGCAGGATATCCTTGTCAATATGGTTATGTGCCAAAAAATGAAAAAGAAAATAAAAGAGAAGAGAATACTATCAACATTATATTTTGTTTTATTATCTATTATGCATAATGTTGTTCACGTGTGTGTGATGTAAAATGCTTGCTTGGTTGCTCTGTTATGTAGAATATAAATTCCGGCAATATAAAAAAAAAGCATATAATCTTATTGTATTCGTAAATGTATTAGCGCATAATGGGCATGTGTACATGAAAATATTGTAAAGATTTTTCAAAATTGTATTTTTAACTATTATGCAGTACAGAATGGTTGTTGGCTTTTTATGAGTCAAAAAAAAAAGTAAAAATTACATGGCTTTCTTAAAAAGGAAGATTTTCTTTTCAAGTTTCATATTTCGTTTTTTTTTTTTTGATTATGCTGATGTTTTACAGGATTTTCATCTTTGTTTCGAAATAAAAGAGAGAAATAATTTTTGTTTTGTTTGTACGCTTTTTATATTCGTTGCATAATTTTTCTCATTTTCTCAACAAAAAGATGATTGAATAAGAAAAGTTTTTTTTTATAAAATTTGTTAAACATTTGACAGAAAAAAAAAAAAAAATTAAAGAAAAACGAAAGAGAACCAGAAGAGAAAAATATTAAACGAATTGTCGAAAATCGATCGTTATTGACAATAATGGCATGCAAATTTTCAAATTTCTCTTTATTATTCTTACGATTTTCTCCTTTTATTATTTTTGTGATAAATAATTGAGTTATTGAAAACTTACATTACATACATGTAGCAGTCAATATAACTCTCATTCTCACTTAAATGAACTTATCCTCAAAACGATTGTTTAACAAATCCTCATAAAAAATATTTGATTCTTGAAACAGTCTCATCAAAAACAACTATAATTTGTAGAAAATAATATGTGGAGGAAGTAAAAATAATTAATTTGAGAGTTGAGCGAAAATAATTGAAAGCGTTTTAAAATGAACCAGACTGAATACAATGTGGGTTTCAATTAAAACACACACTCTACTTCTGCATTGTAATTCTAAATCCCTGTATACTATATGTAATATAACATATAAAATAATTTTATTAAGTTCTTATATGTATGTATATATTATCTACATCCATATTCATTTTATAGTTCTCAATTTATTTTGTCAGGCTATCATTATTTTTTGACAGAATTGTCATTAAGGATACTTTTTTGCCTTTTGTATATTCATTTTATTTATGTAAATGTATTAATCTAGAATTTGACAACGGCATATACATACAATTATATACACATACGTATGTAAATAGAGTGACATTGAATGAAACAACGTTTAAGGATTTTTTTTATAGCAATCTTTAATATCGTTATTTTGCTTTTTTGTTCTTGTTCGTTCCTGTTTTACTTATATACTTAACATTGTTGATCAAGCTATAAATTACTAATGGACTAAACAATAAAAATACAAACAAATCCGGTACTCTGCACTGTATCGTGTGGGTAGGGTATTTTTAGAAGCATGGATTTTGTGAATATTTTTAGTAGAGTAATATCAATACATCGGCAGAACAAAAAAAAAATAAAAGTAAAAACGGAATAATTGTGCCAGTAAAAGGTGGGCGGAACAATGTAAAATTAATTATGTGGAATGTAAAGAAATTGTTTTCTTTACAGAGAACTGTTTAAATTTCTTTATATTATGTAGTTTAAATGAATGTTTATCGTAATTTTTTATTATTTTGTCAAATACTTGGGCAATATACTCCATGATTTCGCGAGTTCAAATTAATTTTTTTGTTTTATAATACATACTTTACGCAATCATTTAATTCGTAAAATTGGGCCAAAATGGAATTCCTAATTAAAAGCAACTGCTATATTTTTCAGTCTGTTGTGTATGACTGAAAAATATGAAGGGTGGAGATCAGAAATTTTTTTTGTTACATTAAAACTGAAACTACAACATTACAAAAATGAAATTGTATATCCATATATATACCTTACAGAGAATTTATGGGGCACTTGACCTCCCTAACTCCGATCATGTTGTTGAATATGTTGGAAGGATCCACCTAGCTCGAATCCTTCTGTTAAATCCATGGCTGATGACATCATAAAAATAATCTAAAAAGGTAAAAAATGTATCAGAAAAATTTCTACTAAAATATAAATAAATCACAATTATATGTAGATATGTGTGTATCAACAAAAACAAAACTACTTCATGAAAACATTTTGGAATTTTTCCAAAATGTTTGGCTTGTCATGAAGCCAAACTTAAGGCCGAAAGTGATATGAAGACAATTTCAAAATCATGCTATTCTCTCTATATAAATCATGGAATGGATTTTAAAAAAAACTGAGGCAAATAGAACTTCTGCTAAATTTTCTTAAAATCCCTTTGTTTCGGAAACCATTAGGTTTTGGCACTCACTCGAAAACAAAAGTTTTACGCATTTGTATTTCTGTAAGCTGTTATATAAATGTACAATGTATTGTTGCACACCTTTCTGACTCACTCTGTATAACAAGAAGTGGCACGTGCTTTAAGTTTTTATCGTTTAATGATTTCCTTTATATAATGCCAAAATTTTGTTCTAGATCCACTTAAATTACGTTTTCTACAAAATTTAAAAAAAAACAATAAAAGGTATAAATATTTTACTTAAAAAATTAATAGGAAAGAATTTAAGAAAGTTCTGGAAACTTTCCTCTCTTTCTTCCAAAATTCAAAAAAAATTACCAAACCATTATTAAAGTCATTTTAGTTTTAATGATTTGAATCATTAAAGTTTTTCTCAAGTAAAAATTAAGGATATAAAAATTTACATATAGATCTGGAAAAAAAAAATTATGGAAAATATTTCTCTTTTAATATATCGCAACTAAGTTAATTAAACCTATCTAGCAATTTATTTTTCACGTGTAGAGAGAGTGGGAGAGCGTCCAACGACGGTAACCCCGGATTTTATAATTATATTATGGCTGCAAGATCTAAAGGTCTTCTTCTTTTTAAGCGACGTGTTGCACTACTATCTTCATCTTCAATTATTTTCCTCATTTCTATGTTTTCGTGTTGCGTTATTCTTTCGTTGTGGTTAATTGCATATTTCCTTATTTCTTGTTCAACTGTGTTGATTTTTAAGTCTCTGTGAATAGTGGAGTTTCTGACATACCAAGGAGCATCTACAATACATCGAAGCACCTTGTTCTGGATTGTCTGTATAATTTGGTAATTGCTTTTCTTAGTACATCCCCAAAGTTGGATACCATAAGTCCAAATTGGTTTAATAATTTGATTATATATTAAGAGCTTATTATGTAAGTTGAGCTCAGATTTCTTTCCGATTAACCAGTTAAATTTTCTTAGTTTCAAATTTATTTCCTCCTTCTTTTTCTTTACGTGGGTTTTCCAGCGTAATTTAGCATCTAGGGTCATTCCTAAATACTTTGCTTCATTAGCGTATGGCACTGCCTCATCATTAAGCATGATACTAACAGGGTTAATGGTTCTGTTTGTAAAATTTACGTTAACGGATTTAGATTCGTTAATTTTAATACGCCATTTTTTCATCCAAGAGTTGACTAAATTTAAGTTTACTTGTAGCTTGTTTGAACATTCCTCAATTGTCTTTCCCGTAGCTAAGATTGCCGTGTCGTCTGCGAAAGTGGCTGTCATTGTTGAACTTATTTCTGGGATGTCTCTTGTGAAGAGGAGGTATAGCACAGGACCCAGCACACTACCTTGTGGGACCCCAGCCTCAATGTTTCTAATATCTGAATATTCGTTATTGTGCTTAACTCTAAAAGTTCTACCGGTAAGATAGGATTCTAGAATCACACACATTTCGTTCGGCAGTACCTTATTCAATTTGCATATTAAACCTTTATGCCACACCTTATCAAAGGCCTGCGCCACATCTAGGAATACTGCTGAGCAAATTTCCTTATTTTCCAACGCTTTTTCTATGACATTAGTAATCCTGTGAACTTGATCAATTGTAGAGTGACTCGTTCTAAATCCAAACTGGTGGGCTGGTATTAAGTTTCTTTCTTGAATAATCGGCATAATGCGAGCCAACAGCATTTTTTCCAACAGCTTGGATATAATTGGCAGGAGTGAAATCGGTCTATAGGACTTCAGATCGGTAGGTGGCTTCCCTGGTTTAGGAATCATCATAATTTCTGCAACTTTCCATATTTCCGGAAAATATTTTAAGCGAATTACCGCATTGAACAGGAATAGCATTTTCTTAACAGCAATAGTTGGTAGTTCTTTTAATATTTTTGCGGTGATAAGGTCATACCCTGGAGCCTTCTTGTTATTGGTTTTCTTGATCTCGTTACGAATTTCAGATAAAGTTATTTTCCTAATGGTCATGTGATTGGAATTAGCAACTTGGTTTGCGTTTTCCAAGAAAGTCTGCCTGGGAAGAGGCTTGAAAATATTCTCTAGGTACTCAGCAAAGCAGCTAGCTTTGTCCATATCGGTTATAGCCCATGAGTTATCAGATTTCCTTATCGGTGGAGCTTGACTTATTGGTTTATTTGTACTCTTGACTGTTTTCCAGAGAGAGTAATCGTTCTTGTTATCTACAGATAGTTTACTTAATGTATTTGCAACTGTTTCATTTTTAATTTGTTTTAAAAGCTTTTTCAATTTATTGCACATGCGATTGAAATTCGTTTTATCAACTGGAGCTCTGGTAATCTGCCATCTTTTCCTAGCTTTTCTTTTTTCTTTTATTAGTTTCCTTACTTCTAGTGGATATATAAAATTATTATTGCTATTGGTTATCATGCGAGGATTAGTGTTATTCCAGACAGAATTTTGAATGTCAGTAACCAACTTGTTTGCTTCGATTTCTAATTGTTGAGCATTTCTCAGAGGAGTATTTAATTCGATGTTGGCTTGTAACTCATTTCTGACATTGTTCCAATTAGTTGATTTATTACATAGCTTAGGTGGTTCTTGTTTAGTAATTACGGATTCGCTTATGGTAAGTATCACAGCAGTATGATCTGAGCTTAAGTCAAGATTTTCTTTAACATGCATGTAGTTCCCAGAAATCCCTCTGGAGATAAAGAAATCTATTAGGTCTGGGGTTCTATTCTGATCTGCAGGCCAATACGTAGGTTTACCAGATGAGTGAAAATCGCAGTTCATTGTAGTCGCCGCTTCGTAAAGAGCTTTGCCTTTAGGCGAATTAACTCTCGAGCCCCATGCTGTGTTTTTGGCATTTAAATCTCCGCCCATTATAAAGTTTGCTCCCAGCTTACTGAAGAGCCATTTATAGTCTTCAACCTTCAGATTGAATTTAGGAGGACAGTAGATAGCTGACACTATGAATTCTTTATTTTTAAACATTATTGCAACCGATGAGACTTGCATGTGATTTTCTTCAATTTTAGGTACCTCGTAGTGACTAATATTATTCTTAATAATTATTGCAGTGCCTCCCTTGGCCTTATTTTCCGGATGCTGGGTGTGGTAACACGTAAATCCTCTTATATTTAAGTAGCTTTCCTTTGTAAAGTGCGTCTCAGATATTAAGCCTACATCAATTTTTTCGTCATGTAAAAATATTTCAAGTTCGTGAATGTGGTGTAAAAGGCCATTAGCATTCCATGTCATAATTCTGATTGATTTCGTCATTTCTTATTAATTCTAGAGTTTAATTTATTTTCTATCGAGCTAATTCTATTATAAATATTTATTTCAGATTTTTTCTGTTCGTCTAGTTTGTTGAGGATCAGGATTAGAGTGTTTTCAATGTTGGATGTATCATATCTTTGATATGTGCTCGCAGCCTGAGCATAAGTTCGCTTATCTTTTAGATTAGAATTGATGACTTGATTAATCTTGTTAACATTATTATTTATGTTAGAGTTTTTATTAGAATTACTGGTATGAGCTTGTGGAAGACTATTTGCACTTGGAAGATTCCTTGATCTAGAAGCTAGGTCTCTCCTTTTCTGTAGGTCTTTGGCTATTTTACAGCCCCTATAGTTTGCTGGATGGCTGCCTCCACAGTTGGCGCATGACGCAGGAACATCTCTTTTGCGTGGGCAGTTGTTAGAGAGATGGCTGTTACCACATTTGACGCATTTTGGATCCTTTTTGCAGAAGTTACCCGAATGATTGAATCCCTGGCATCGCTTACACTGAACTATAGCCTTACTTGTTTTCTTAACAGGTTCAATTTTAACTATAAGATTTAGTATTGATCTTATTTCGTAAATTTTTGTTATATTTTCACTTCTATCAAAAGTCAGCATGAAAAGAGGCAATTTCTTTTTCTGTAGAATAAGTTCTCCCCTTTCATCGACAACTCTTTCGTTTTTAATTATATTTACAGCGTCTACAATCTTAAGACCTTGACTGGTGATATCCTCAATGATTTCATTTCTATCACAACTCCAATGGAGACCCCTGGCCATAACTCTAAACGGTCTCTCATTTTTATCCTCGTAAGTAAACCACTCGATCTTTTCACTTTCAAGTTTTTTGACCAGTAGCCTATAGGATTCAGGGGTGTCTGGGTTAACTTTCCACACGTTTTGGTTTAGTGAAGTAATTTTATAGTTTTTTATATTCGAATCTAGCAACATTTTAACTTTATTATAATCTTCGATCCCAACAAGGTTTATAGGAGGTGGCTTCCTTTCCCTAATTTGCTGGAGATCATCCCTTTCACTGCTAGTAATACTAGCTCCATTATTAGTTTGGACTTTATTAGTATTACCCCCGTGGTTTTTATCATTTTCATTTCTACTAGTACTACCATTTCCTGAAACAATTATAGGACTTTCCTTAACAATGGTTGGTACATCTTTGTTGAGTTCTGGAGAGTTTTTGGCTTTTCTTTTTTTAGCTTTCCTTGTATTCATAGTATATTGATTTCCATCTGTTTCAAACCCTGTTAGATCACTACTTGAATCCGATGAGTCATTCCTTGCACGGTGAGTGTTGTTTTTTGCAAGTTGGGCTGATTTTAAAGCCATGATTTCCATTTTTAACTCTTTGTTTTCGTTACGCAACATCTTTATGATTGATTCTAAATCTTCGAGCTTTTTACGCAGCAGCACAGTTTCTTGATTCTGTTCACCGACATTTGGTGGAGTTCTTATGACTTTTGGTGGAGTTCTTGGAGTCTTATTACTTCCGGAGAAACTGGCAATTGAAGTAAACGTTGATTGTTGATTCAGCAATAGTTGGTCTCCCCCAGAATCCGTGAGACCGACCTCATTAGAGGGTGGATTTACCAATCTGATTGGCTTACCACCTGGGGTATTCAATCCATGTGTTTTTCCCATTGCATCAGGATCAAAAGGATCAAAAAAATAATTCCCATAAGAAAAATTAAGAATTTACAACGGGAACGGAACTAGGATAAGGATAGAAATAGAAATGAAAATCTAAAAATAAAAACTTTCAAAAGATGAATTGCCCTTTAAAAATTGTCATTTAAATTTTGTGGTACATTTGTCTCATGGGAGATTTATTATTCAAAATATAGAGAATTTTATATAATACGATTTTCAAATTCGTTTTATAATAAAATTTTATAATAATTAAGGTCTGTTTTCCTTCTCATTTTGTTAATTTTTTATTCCAAAAAAAAAAACAAGTCGTAATTAAAATGAATTTCCGATTAACAATTGATGGTCTATATAGAAATAATATCCTAAAATTTATGAAAATTATTAGAGTAGCAAAAGTACAAAAATTTAATTAATTTGTCTGACTGAAACCTAAAAATGGAAAATTTCAATTAAAACAGAAACGAGAAAATGACCATAAACAATATTCTGTGTAGAAAAGAATAATTAAATATAAAAACTATTACAAAAACAAGAACAGAACTGAATCATAAATAAATTGAGAGGGCCATCAGAGTTTTTTAAAAGAAACTTCAATTTTCCAGGAATTATTTCAGAAAATACGAAAAAAAAACTCTTGAAAACTAGAATGACACAAACAAAATTCAAATTTTTTTTTCTATTTATTTACAGAAAAATCTTCTAAAACCCTGAAAGACTAAAAAAAATTATGGAAACTTTCAAGAGTCATCCTGTTAGTTTTGCCCTGTTTCTATAGTTGTCGTCTGAAATTTTTTTATTGTGAAAAGACAACAATTTAATTTGAGAGCACCGAGAAATTTAATTTAATTCTTTGTCCAACTTTTCCATAAATTCAACAATATCTTAATGGTGTCTAAGTAATTTCCGAAATTTATTTTTAAACTAGAATCAAACAAAAAAAATATATGTATATATTTTTTTAGGTCAAATATATCTCACATTTTTATACCCTTAAGAATAATTATTGTTAATTGTTAAATATTTTTAACAAGAGTTTCAAAAAATAAAAGAAAAATTGTAAATCAAAATTAAAAATTTTTTGTTTAACACAAAACAAAACACAAATAATTGAAAAAAAAAAAATATTCTAACATAATTTTAAAAAACTTTAAGGAAATTTTACATTTTCTAAAATTAAGTGAAATTTTTGTTGTCCTTAAGGCTGTTACATTAAAAAACTTTCAATATTGTTTTCAGTTTAAAACTGAAGGAAAATGAAATAATCATAAGAGTCATAATGAAATTTGTTGAAATGATGACGTCCAATAATAATAATCTGGGAACAGCAACAGACAAAATTCAGAAAAAAAATGGTCATATTTATTAAGTGTGTCGTTGGTTAAACCTTTCTTTAATTTATTACAAATTTCTGTCAATTTGCTAGAATGAAAAATTGAAGATGAAATGTTATCCACGAAATTTATAAAAAAATTTTTCATGTATATAAACTTGGGTTACAATATTTTAGTACCAGACTTGTGGTTAAATAAACATATTGAATAGAATCATAAGAAAACTTTTAAAAATTAAGTACATAAGTATGCGGTTAATGAAAATAAAATTAAATTATGGACTCTAGGGAAATTGCCATCTATTTTGTTCAATTTAAATTTAAAATAATATGGAGCAAAATAAATTCTTCAAAACTTTTTCAAAATTTTACGAATTTGTTCTTGAAATCTTTCTATCCAAATTTTTTGTATAAAGTGTTCCTTTTTTGATTAGAAGTTCATGTTTAATAATTCTTTTTTAGGTTTTTTTTTAATTTATACCATCCGCATATACTGAAATGTTGTATTTTGACAAGTTTTGTACGAAAGTAAGTTGACCTACAACTATAATTCATCTAAGAAGCACAGTTAACCGACGAACTACAGGCAAGGAAAATTTAAATTATATTTTCATAGAAGATCTTTTAATATAAAACTTTAATTTTAATGAATTAAATATAAAATAATTTAAATGAATTAAATATAGAGAAATCTTTTGATCTAAAATCCATTAAATTCAATGACAATTTTTATATATCTACCTATATGAATGTATATATTTTTATTTAAAGAACAAACCCTTTTTGAGAAAATAATGTATAAAATTGTAAGAAATCCGCGTGTTTTGTTTTAAGTTATAACTAACAAGGATACCCAAATAACTTGCTAGAAAAGTATTTTTAATAAAAAAAAACTTTAAAGCTTTAAACAATAGAAAAATTATGCTGAGTAAATGCATAAAAGAAAAAGGATTATTATCAAAAACAATAATACTAAAACAAAAAAAGGAGAAAAATTAAAAAAGGAAAACAGGAGGAAAAACAGTTTCATAACAGTTTCAACTTTCAAGGATTAAAAATTCAATTTTTATAAATCTTTTATGAATAGTTTCTTTTTTCTATACATGAAAATTTTCTTTTAAAGAAAAGCTGTGAAACATAAATGCAAAGATTAAGGTCCTAATTTTTTTTTTCATTATTATTATCTAAATATACATACATATATATGTATGTACCTACGTACAAGTTTTCCATATAAAACTATATTATATGTACAAATATGTATTTTAATACAAGAATAATAGTTTGTTAAAATTATTTTATATATTCGGTTTTTAGTAAATATTTGAAACTCTGAACTATGAAACATTTTATATCGTATTGGACCGTTGGAAGTTAAAGATTTTGCTTGCAATACAATTTCTGTTTTATGAACAACATAGCAATTTAACGCATTCAATTACTTGTTTCTTGAGAATTGAAAAATTGTTTAAGTTTAAGCAATGTACAAATTAAATGTTTGTATTATTCTTACAATTTGTAATTACACGTATATCAAACCGCTTTCAGCCCAAATTTCTGTACAGAACTAGTTAAGACTTGTATCAATGATAACTTACAATTTTTCCTTTGAAGTAACTGAAGAACACATTCCAAGAAAATGTTAGACTAAAAATCAGTTTGCTCTCTTCCATCTTGCAATATTTAAAATAAAGTTTGTCGTCCTGTATTAAGAACTAGTTCCTTAATGGGGATGTTTATTCCTCGACTGCGCTTATTTACTATTTAATTTTTGAAGTCCAATCAAAGTACAGATTTCCTTTTTATTATTAATAACTTCATTTATGTGATTATTCTTAATTTGATTTGCGCTTGTTTTTTTAATGCACACATATTCCTTGAAATTTTCGCTTATTAGAATATATGATTGAATCACCTGACTTTTAAGTTTAACGGAACTGAAAATGACAACATGACATTGCTAGCGTTGACTTTTTTAATTCACATCATTCACAATATTGAAAATCGAAATATGCAGCGCTACCTGGAGTCGTTCAAACTAACAATTAAATTCAACTTTTTGAATATTCTATTACTTCCACTTATCAACATTAATAAATTGTGTTAGCATAATAAAACCGATCAAAAACTTAACTACTATAATTATGTGCATTTATTGTCACTCTAATCTGCATTTCAAATGCACATTATATAAGATAAAAAAAAAACAAATATTGCATTTTTATTTTGTAATTAAAAAAGAATCATTGTTAAACATGTTGTGCGGTATTTTTTATGTTTTTCTTATCTTTTCATTAACCGAGTTTTAAACTAGAATGATTGCGGAATAAGCAAAAAGTGAATAAACAATTATAGTTATTATTAAAGTGGGAAAGAAAAATTCTTCAACTTCGAATATAGTTTGATTGTTGAAAAAACCAGATGAGAAGAGAACACACGTACACTCAAACACGCATGAAAAATAAGTTGGTTTTTATTAAAAAAAAAAAAAATATTTGCTTTTTTTATTTGGTTTATTCTCGCTCTATTAATAATTTCTCACATAATCTCTTGTCAGTTCTTTCAAAAATGAGTTTATTTTTCTTCTATTCAGAAGTGTCTCTTACAATTTGCTTCTATTTTTAATTTTAAAAATTCATGTTTTTAGGATAACAAACTATTTAGTCAGGGAATTTATAGTGTCAACATAGCATAGATGTAAAAATAATCCAAAATAAAAATTTTTTTTTATTTGTTTTGCGGGATAGAAATTGCCACAATGTTTATACTTACTTGGTTCTTATTTGTTCTCCTCTTAAGTTTAATTTTAATGGCATTTTTTTTTGTCTACACTTTAAAGTTTGAAAAAGGATGGAAAAATAAATGTAACTTGACAATAAAAAAATTACTAAAACTGTAAAGTTTGAAGGAAACTAATTGAGACATAAAGGAAAATATTATATTTGTATACATACATACATAGTTGCTAAATACATATTTAATTGTAGAGGGCAGAACAGTAATAACTGAGATCAGCAGATTATACATTTTTTTTAATGTTTTTTAAAATATTAATTTCTCTCAGAAAGCATGAAATTTGTCTAAAGTGACATCGAACCCGATTGTGATTTCAGTTTCGATTCTGATTTCAACTATTTATCGACTCTATTTCCAGTCCTGTTTCCACTCCTATTTTTATCCTTTTAGTTTCACTAAGGCTATGGCTGACAGATATTTTAGTTATATCAAAACTTAAAAGAATGAAATTAACAAACTCTGTAAAAGAATTAAAAAAATAACAGATATTATGGCTTTTTAAAGTTACTTAATTATGGCACTTAAGGTAATTTTCTCCTATATTTACATAAAATGACAAAATTTTATTTTAAAATCTAAATTCAAAATTTTACTTTGATATTTATCTTTTAAATATTTAAATTAAACCAAATAGAGGATTAAAATAATATAAGTATTTTCATAATTTTATTTCTTATAATATTTTAATAACCAAAATTAAAAAAGCCATGACCAAGTTAAAGTATATACCTACTTCAAAAACATTTTCCAATTAGTATGCAAATATGATACATGATATTAATATTAACAAAATTTAGGTCACAATAAAATACATAATTGTGAATTTAATTTTTTGTGAATCGGAATTTAGAAATACCAATGATATTGCTGTCGAAGCTTTTTTTTATATTAATTGGTGTTGTGAAACGGCGTTTTATTTTTTAAATATTTTTTAAAGGATAATTTGAAATGTTATTTCCAAAGTAAATTAATATTAAAGTATTAAAAAAGGCACTTGAAGACTTTTTGACCTGAGAAAATGGAATTGTACAAAGCACAATTTATAATTTTGTAAATGGCAAATGATTGTCGGCAGCGTTCTCACATTATTAATGGTAATTTTCTAGAGTCCATTTGCAAAGTAAAGGCAACAGTAAATTCAAACGGTAAATTCAAAATGCTTTTAACAGGATGTTTGATTACTCGACTTTCAGTGAATTTGGAAATAAAATCGTATGTATATATGTAAGTATCAATTGCAAGTTAAAACATCAATTTAAAAATTCAAGAATCGATAAAATTTTTCTTAAGCCTCACTTTTATACTCCTACAACACATACTCCTTTTTTTTGGAAGATGCGTCGAACTAAAAAGAATATTTCCTTTTTAAAGAAACCCAAGGTACTTACCACAGATTTTTTTTTTAAACTAAAACCACAATTTTTCTTGGAAATGTAGGGAGGTATGTACCTAATTTTTCTGAATATTTTAGGCGATTTTTATGCGTATCATCATTACTATTTATTTTAGCGCTGATCTTTCTACAAACAATCTTCGATAATTCAATATATTTTACGGTACCTGGAAAATTTTCCACAAAAAGCCTATTTTGTAAACTGTTTAATTGGCTAGCATCTCACTAGTATCTGATTCAATATTTTCAATCAACTTTAACAGTAAATTTTTATTCACTCTGTAGCATAAATGAAATTCAAATTAAATTCTGTGCGATTTTACACTCTTCAGATACCTTCTATACCTAAAGATTATTGCATATTCTTGAATAATATAATCACTTTGTAGTACATTTTAAGTATGGGATCACGAAATAAATAGCATTATGATATTGTCCATTGTAATTCTTTAAGGATTATATTATTTCTTATTGATCAAGTAAAGTAGAATTTACAAAAATGCAATGTCATCTTTTATCAATTCAAAATGAAAATTCGTCTTAATTCATTCATTTTGTGGAAAAAATAAAATTTCTACAATTTTAAAGAAATAAATGAAGTAACAAAATAAAATATAAGGTGATTTGCATTATTTTTCAAAATAATTTTTTTAATGAAATTTTCGAAGAAAGAACAAATAAATAAATTTTTTACTTATTTTTTTTTATTGTATGTACGCCATCACATTCAATTTACAATTCCTTTTGAAACACATAAAAATTATAATAATAAGATAACGAATAACAAAAATAATAGAAAATTGGGTTTATTTTTAATTATATTTCTTTCCGAATATTTGATGAAAATATCTGGTTCATAATACAATGAGAAAAGCCCTAAAATTTTATCTTGAAAAATAAAGAAACGAACAAAACTGAATTGAAATTCAATCTTTGATACAAAGATCGAAATATTTGTAATAAAAATTATTTAAACAAATGGAAATTCAATGTGTATGTATATTTTTAGAATTGAAAATATGAAATCATAATCACCGCATTCGAATATGAAAGTTATTATGGAGGTGGAAATATGTGAATCAAAACATTTTCAGTTCTTATCTACCTTAACAATGAAGAAGAAAATGATTTCTTGGATGTCGGAATTATTTATTGGACTACAATCCATTACTATGTGGAAGAAGATTATTGTTTCAGTATATCAGTACGGTTAATCTAGGTAATTTTAAAACTTTTGTACTTATATGTGGATCAATTCAAGTATCTTTAGTTTTAATTCAATTAATCAGGGTATACTCCGCAATTGTAAAAAAATTTAATAATATTAGATGTTACCATATTTGTATTAAGCCCCTTTAAACTATTTTGAAAGGTTCAAACTATATTTTACGAATTTCCTCTAACTTTAAGCTTTCGTTGAGTGCTATTTGGGTCGGGAGTATTTTTAATTTTTCTCCAACCGAATCAAAAGAATTTAAACTAAAAAAATTTCAAATTTTGTAGTACTTACAACACACATGCATTGCATCTCTTGATTACTATTCATTTATTTTTATTTGAAAATAATTCAATTTTTTTCAATATTTCAAGACTACACCACTTTATTACTTGTTATTATACACACTTTTTTTCTTCGGAATTTATTCAAATAACATTTTCGTATATATATATATATATATTTCAAAAAGGATGTATGAATATCCTTATTATATTGTTTCATATTTTATAAATTCATGAAATACATATTCACATTATGTACGTATAAATAATTTGAATAAATAAAATATGAGATACAAAGTAACAAAAAAAATATGAAAATAAAGAAAAGAAATTATCAAAAATACTATGAATTTAATCAGAAAACAAAAAAGAAAACAACAAGAAAAAAAAAGTTTTCTTTTTGCAACAAATTTTCTTTGCTCTTGTTTACATTGGAATTCTTTTTTCTTCTTTATTTTGGTTCTGCTTTGTTTTTCATCTTAAGTTATCACCCTGATGGTTGTTCCTTTCAAACAGGATATTTACTTATTTCCTTCTCATCCTTCGCGAACACTAATGAGGTTTTTTCTTTTTATTCAGTACAATGACATTGCTCTTTTTACTCATTTTCGAATTCATATCCCCCTAATTCGTAAATATTGTGCGAAATATAACGAATTTGAATTTCCATTTGTGATATTAATCAATAGGAATATGGGCTTTTCGTACGTTACCAGTGTAAGATTTTACCAAAATTAAAAAACTAAATTTTTTATTCTTTATTCATTATGTAGGGGAATATAACACTTCGAACTGATCTAGGGTAACTGACAATTGGTTCGAACTGATCTAGGGTAGTTTGTAAATGGAACGCTTTATAAATTTAGTACATATTAAAGATTTGACTTTTATTTGTCATTCAAGAATGTGTTACCGGGTGCTGGAATAAATTCGCGTAAATATAACTTTCATTTACTCCTCTATAGTCTACTCTGTATTTTGGGTAACGTTATATTTCTGTAAAAATAAGAACAATTTATTAATTTAACCTCAATTAATTAATATTTTTACAACAAAACTATTTGTGTCCCATAATTGTCAATAAATAATCGTTTTATCCTTTTCTATATTATTTTTTTCAAACCAGGATATATAAGCATGTTTTTAAGATTAAAAAAAAAAACAGAGAAACTA